AATTGGGGAATTGGGGAAGGGGAACAGCCAAGTTGTTGTCCTTCAATCTTAGTTGTGGAGGGCACAGCTAGCTCAGCTCCAAGTCCAGTCACCATCCGGCAGCCCATCGGCAGCTCGTGGCAGCTCAGCTCAAGGTGCCATGTTCAATCTTAGTTGCGGGTGGGCGTAGCTCACCATCCCATGAGGGAGTTGCACTGGCCACCTTGTTGTTAGGATCACTTGCTTTCACCAGCTGAGCCATCCTGCCACCTGTTGGCAGCTCAGCAGCAGCTCAGCTCAGGTGTAGCTCATTGGCCCATGTGGGAATCAAACCGGCGACTCTGTTGCTCAGAGCTCATGCTCTTAACCACCTGAGCCAATTGACCGGCCCCTCAATGATTTTGTGTAGAAGTCACAGAATTCAGAATTTGTTACAAAGCTCCATAAAACAACTCAGATCCTTTTCCCATATGGGAACTTCCAAATTTGTAAAGACATGTTTTACGTTCCCAGTGTCTTACAGTCTTTATGGTAAATAGCACTATTTCTTTATATAGTCTCAATGCCTCTCCTCCTCCTGGTCTCCCATCTTCAGAAACCCCTACTGCTTAAATATAATGTTCAGAACCAAACATCATATACAAGGTGTGGTATAAGCAATGTAGATTTCATTGGGCTTTTCCTTCCATTGATTTAAAAATAAATTCCTGCCAGCCAGTATCCAGCTATCAAAATATGGTTTAAAATTAAGACTGCTGAACAAAAGTTCAGATCCCAGTTGAGTTATTAAAACTGAAAAATGTTTATTTGGGATTCCTATTTTACTATAGTGACTTGTCTTTTTTTTTTTCTTGAAATCTCTAGCTGTAATTGTGGATTTTATCTATTTCTCTTTCCAATTCTATCAGTTTTTGTTTCATATATTTTGAAGCCCCGTTATTGCATGCATATATATTTAGACTTGTTATATCTTCTTGATGAATTTAAATCTTTCACATTATGATATAATCCTCTTTATCCTTAGTGATACCCTAAAGGCTATTTAGTGTGACTTTAACATAGCCACTCTGTATTTGATTCATGTTTGCACAATGCAGGTTTCTGTCCTTTTGCTTGTACTCTGTTGTTGTTGTTTTTTATATTTAAAACAGATTTCTTATAGACAGCAAATAACTAGACTTTGCTTTTTTATTAAATGTATTGGGGTGACATTGGTTAATAGAATCATATAGGTTTCAAGTGTACAATTCTATAATATATCATCTGTATATTGCACTGTGTGTTCACTGCTCAAAGTCAAATCTCCTTCCATCGCCATAGATTGACAACCTTTATACTCTTTTACTGCCTCTTCCCTCCTACCCCCGTATCCTCTGGTAACCACTAAACTGCTCTCTATGTCTGTGAGCTTTGCAATCTGGTGATCTCTTCCTTCTAATTAGAACATTTAGACCATTCACATTTAAAGCAATTACTCTGCCATAAAAAAAGAATGAAATCTTACCATTTGCAATAACATGGAAGGACCTAGAGCATATGATGCTAAGTGAAATAAGTCAGACTGAGAAAGACAAATACCATATGATCTCACTTATATGTGGAATCTAGAGAACAGAATAAACAAACAAACAAAACAGAAATAGACTCCTAGATACAGAGAATAAACTGATGGTTGCTAGACGGGGGCTGGGTGAGAAAGGTGAAAGGATTATGCAGTACAAATTGGTAGTTACAAAATAGTCACAGGTATGGAAAATACAGTATGGGGAATATAGTCAATAATATTGTAAAAACTATTTATAGTGTCAGATGGGTACTAGACTTATTGAGGGGATCACTCCATAAATCATATAGATACCTAACCACTATGCTGTATAGTCATGGGATGTAAAGTACAGCATAGCAAATATAACCAATGGCATTGTAATACTATGTATGGTGTCAGATGGGTATTAGACTTGTTGGGGTCATCACTTTGTGAGGTGTGTAAATGTCTAATCACTATGTTGTTTTGTACACCTTAAACTAATAATAAAAAATAAAAATAAAAAAATAAAGCAATTATCAATATGGGTAAGCTTAAATCTAACATTTTCTACTTGTTTTCTCTTTGTTTATTAGTTTCTGCTTTCTTTGTATAAACTGTGTGTTTATTATAATTTCATTTTATCACCATACTTGTTTGTTAGCTATAGTTCATATAGTTCATCTGCACGCACACATATGTTCATTCTATGGTAGTGATGCTATAATTTTTGTTTTGTGGTTTTCATAATGATGCTAAGACATTATTTTGCCTTTACCACACTCTTTATAAGTGTACAGTGAAGTTTTCTGGAGTCTACATGATGTGTGATAAGGCCATTGCTCTAATGGCTATGAAATATATATATATATATATATATATATATATATATGTATTTATTTTAGAATTTTCTGTTTTGATTTCTGTTATGGTAACTATCCATAGATATCACCATATATGCAAAAGCTTAAAGGTGTCCCCAATAACCTTTTAAATTATGAAGGGATTCTGGGAGCAACAATTTAAGAGCAATCAGTCCAATACTCTAGGGGACCTCTTTGCACATCATTGAGGCTCCAAGTCTGTATAACACCTTCCTCTTCAGTACTCTGTTTCACAAACTCTAGCTGTCTTGTCTTCCCCCAACCCTGATCTTTGTCTCCTCACCTCAGTGTGACTACTAGTTGTTTGGGTTAGCCCTCCTAGCACTACAGCCTAGAAACTGCACCAACCATAGGGCATACCTCATATTTTTTTCTTCTTTCAGGAGTCACAATTCTCTGCCTATTGTCTGAAAATCATTGCATCTTATAGCCTGTCCTGTTTTCTAGTTGTTTATGGTGGAGAAGAATTCTGTAGTAATAAGTCCTTCATGGGCAGAAATGGAAATCTGCTGAATTTTCTGTTTAGTGTAGAGCAGGGGTGTCAAACTCAATTAAAACACGGGCCATTTGGTGCAACAGGCAAGATTCACGCGGGCCAGATCATATTTACAAAGTTTGTTAAATTTATATTCTGAAGTGAGGATTCAGGAATATGGATAGGATAATTAAAACACTATATAATTGCTTTTATTTAAACATTTATTTTATTTAATGTATTCATAAAACTNTGATTGCCAGGGTCCTTGGCTGAGCAGCCATGGTTAGTGTTTGAGGTACCAAGTGTTTTTGTCTATATTGTCAGGGGCTCCCTTTGATAACTAGACGAGCTATTACAAAGGCAAAGGGGGCGAAGTAGCAGATAAAGTACATATTTTCCTTTCCTTTGGAAGCTATCAGTTCCTCATTATCAGTGCTGGGACACTTGCATTGAAATATAGGAAAAAAAGTGCACATAAATATAATGCAAACTTAATATGAATGTACTGTGAACATCTATATGGGGCTAGACAATGGTGACAATGGAGGGTTAGTCTGGGAAAACTTCCTAGAAGACAAAAGATCTCTTTGAAGGTTGGACAGCCATAGAAAGTTTCTGGAGAGCATTTAGTGTGAAGTATAGGGAAGAAATGTTTGGAGGAAAGAGAGGTGAAGCATAAATGTGAAAAAGGGAGAATGAATTTGGGATCTTAGAAGATGGAGGAAATGAACAATACATAGTATTTATTATGTGCTTGTTAATGTTAAGCAATGAGTGAGGCACTTTTTATAAGTTATTTCCAATACTTACAAGCAAAACAGGTAACACTGTGCTACATTTATGGTGAAAAAATCCTAAGTTTAGAGAATTTAATAACTTCCTGACACTCATAGAAACTAGAAGTGGAAAATACTGATTTTTATATCACAATATTCTAAAAGAAAATTGGTTACATAATATTGGGAGTTTGAATCGAAGAGTTACTTGCTTTTCGACCTATCTTCCAAAGATAATAGTGAATTGTTTATTATCTTTTGTAGAATGATGAATTGAATTTTTTTAGTACAAAGAGGCAAGGGGAACAACAGACCTGAGCAGACTCAAGTCAGACAAATGAGGTACATTTCAGGAAGCCCACATGATTAACACCTCAAAGGAAAGAAAATGTAGGTGCAAGAGTTATAAGGGAGTAGAATAGCCTTACACTAGAACAATACCAGACCTTGAAATTATTTTTCTCTGTAGGCAAAGACCTGATTGCCTCCAAGAATCTTCTGAATAGACACCAAGTCATCCAGGCTGACATTGCCAGCCATGAACCACCCATCCGAAGGATAATGGAGAAGGGAAACACAATGGTAGAGGAAGGTATGTATGATTCAGATTGGTTTGAACAATCATCCCTATGCCAAACTTATGGGATGAAGTTTGTTCAATGTTAGGACTTCTAGGAATTTAAAGATATCTGATTCACCTTCTCATCCAATGCAGAAATTCCCCTCAGGTGTTTCTGACATGTACAATGTTGTTTGTATATTCCAATAATAGAAAACTCCCTACCTCATTAGCCAGTCATTCCTATTTTTCTATAAAGTCACAACTAT